GTGTGTGTGTGTGTGTGTGTGTGTGTGTGTGTGTGTACATGTGCCTGTAGCCACTGAGCCACCTCGCCCACTCCTATATTCTCATCTTTGCCTACGTTATTATTTTTTCTGTCTTTTAAACTTAAGATGTGCCCAATACCAAATGTATTTTGGGGACTATGTTTTGATATCTTCCTTTTTGTGCTAAGAAGATTAATAAAACTAAGACTTATATAAAGAGCTAGAACTTAATTTAATTTTATGATTATGAAAACATTCTTAATTCAGTGTTTACCAAGTAGGAGGACTTTATCAGAGCGCCAAAGGGAATTTAAAGATTGCTGGAGTTAATTTTAAAAAATTAAAAGCTACTATATCATCACGTGTGTGTGTGTGTGTGTGTGTGTGTGTGTGTTCGCGCGCGTGCGCTTGTGCATGTGTGTGCTTAAGGGAGATAATACAGTGCGTTTTACCTGTCTTTTTTTTTTTTGAGTCAGGGTCTCTGTAGATGAGGTTGGTTTCAAATTCTCAAGGCTCCCACCTCAGCATCACCATACAGTTGGTTATTATTATTTGCTTTCTTTTCTTAAGATTAAAAAGAAAGATTTATCTATTTTATAGTGTGGGCATGAACATTTTGCCTTCATGTATGTATGTGTACTGCATTCATGCTTGGTGCCCACAGAGAGCAGAAGAGTTAGGGATAGCTGAGAACCAGGGTCCTCTGCAAAGGGCAGCCAGTACTCTTAAGCACTGAGCCAGCCCTCCTGCCCCCCCACTCCCCCAATACTATTTTCTTTGGTCTCTTTGTCTTTGCCGCCTTCTATGCCAGGACAGGCTTATTTGTTTCTAAGTCAGCGCTGACTGCTCCTGGTCTACGTTCCCTTTAATGCTCTGCATTATACAGACAAGAACTTGATCTGTATCTGCCTCCGAGAGAGCTGTGCAGGGTTTGTGAGCCAGAGCTGAGTGTCAGCCAGTTCCCCCTGAGCCATGTGGGTGCAGACAGGGCTGGGGTAGGAGGTGGTTAGGTGCCTGACCATAGGGAAGGGGTGGGAGGGACAGTGTGGACAGGAGGAACAGTCTGACCTCAGGCTGTGGGGGCTGAGGAAGAGGCGGAGTCCAGGAAAAACCCCTTTCTGGTTTGAGTGGGTGGACAGTTTAAAATTGTAAAGAAAGAGGAAAAAGTCCATCTTCAGCATGCTCTGATGGTTAAAGCTTTTCAAAAAGTCAGTGAAAATGGAGAAGTCTGAACAGGCTGGTTTAGAACATTTCTCACCAATGTAAATTTTACATGAAATACTCTTGACACTTTTGGCCGGACGAAGTCGATTCTGCTTATTTCTAGCCTCTGGGAAGAAGCCTGTGCTTGGTCTCAGCGGTGGCTAGAAGGCTTGATGGTGAGGCTGCACTTGCTGCTGGCCTGGAAGAGTACCCTGCAGCCCACAAGCTTCCTTCCTCTGACAGAGTGGCTGTTTTAAGATGCTCTATGTTTTCACAATGCACAGGTAGTTGTGAGCATAGTGTGTGCCCATTCCAAAGCAAGAATGCTGGGCAAGGTAACAGTGTTGAAGGTAAGGTTCAGGGTCTAACCTGTGGTTCCAGCAGTTCTGCAGACAGGTGTGTGTTCCAACTGCTCCTTCCACACAGGGAGGCAGTTGGGATAGGGAGGATTCACAGGTCTGCTGAGATTATATGGATCAGTTTGTTAGTTACATATATAAATTACCAATTCAAATTATAGGCCGTTTTGTATTTGTTACATCTAAACTACCATTTTTGGATCTTTGGCAGGAATGTGTATGCTATCTTGGGCAAGTCCTTTTCTCTGCAGGAGCCTCCGTTTCCTTAATATGACGTCACAGAACGAGGCTTCTGGAATCCCCTCGGCTTGTATGACAGGTTGAGTCCTAACACTGAATGTCTATCTTTTTGTTGGTCCTGGGTCTCACCCTTCAGACAGTCATCCTGCCTCAGCCTCCGTGAGATTCGAGGCCTTAGATACTACACTTGATGGTGATGGTGGCTCGAAGCTGGAAGATGCTGCTGCTCATTCACTTTTTAAGGCCTTCGTGGAGCCCCAGCTTGCATATGTAGCTTCGCAAAAGCTAGAAGTCCTGCATCCTTTGTATTATTTCAGACCCCTTACCCCGGGACCTCTGCTGACTCACATCGGGATGGGGTGGGGGACTCCACTGCTTTCTGGAGTCAGGGAGTAAGTTCATGTAGCATCGCAGGAGTGAATTCACACTGCTGCATTGCTTGGGGATGACCACAGCTGGGCTTCAGCCTGTTTGCTGTGAAGTAGTAAGACATTTGTTTCCTTTCTCACAACCCTTTATTTTGTGGTATAATTTATGTGCATTAAAATGCACCATTTTTGACTTTGAGAGTGCTCTTTGGGAATCACTACTATAATTATTCTATAGATGTGTCCATCACCTTAAAGAGCCCTGTTGTTGGCTTGGTGGTTTCCATAGTGATTTGTAGACTGCTTGGTGTTTTCCACATAGATGATCCCTGTCTTTTTCAGACACCATGTTTGACTCCTTCCTTTCCAATCTGTTTGCCCTTTCTCTTTCCCTCTTGCTGCCCTGAATTTTTGTGTTTGGAGAGTGGGGATGGGTTATTGCCCCTGTCTGTGCCCTTCACTGCCCCCTGCCTTAGCTGCCGGGCTCCTGTGGCTGTGCCTCCACGGTTTCTCTTTCCTTGCTAGAGGGCCGAGTTTCTGTCATGAATGGGTGTTTCATTTTGTCAGATGTTTCTTTTGCACCAGCTGAGCTGACCATATGGTTTTCCCTTTTTAGCTTGTTAGTGTGGTGAGCTACATTTCTAGAAGCTGCCGACTCTGTGAAAGCCTTATGCGTAGGGTAGGCTCAGGGTCTGTGGCGTTGTCATGTGGTGTTTGGGGATTCTTCAGCTATATAGTACATTCAGAGTTACTGACATCAGCTATTCGGTGGGAATACTCACTCGTGGGGTCTGAGCTGTTGAATTAAGACTGTGGCTGTTTTGTTGCTTCAGTGCACTTTAGGTGAAGTGATGGGGTATGTGTGTGAGAAAGAGAGGAGAGAGAGAGAATATGTGTGAGAGTCTGTGTGAGAGAGGGAGGGAGAGAGACAGAGAAACAGAGGGGGGGGCTAATTATTATCACATCTCAAGGATATAAGTAGCATCCATTTCCTTTATTTTACAAATGAGGAAGCTGAGGCCCTGCCTCCTGGAAGGTCAGAGAATTCTATTTCCCCTGACAGTAGCAGAGTTGCCATTCAAGCACCAACCATTTTGACACATGTGAGTGGCACCAGAATTCACTAATAACTGTATCTTTATTTGGTTTTTCTTTCTTTCTTTTTTTCTTTTTCTTTTTTCTTTCTTTCTTTTTTTTTTTTTTTGGTTTTTCAAGACAGGGTTTCTCTGTGGCTTTGGAGGCTGTCCTGGAGCTAGCTCTTGTAGACCAGGCTGGTCTCGAACTCACAGAGATCCACCTGCCTCTGCCTCCCGAGTGCTGGGATTAAAGGCGTGCACCACCAATGCCTCGCTTGTATCTTTATTTGAATAGAGCCAACTGAACAGGGGCTTAAGTAACCTCCCCAGTGGCCTCAGAACTGTAGAGGCAAAGGTCTCCCGTTGCTGAGTTGTGTTCTTTGCCGTGGCCTTGCTGCCACTGGAAGGGTTGTGGGAAGGAACTGAGTCAAGATGCAAAACAAACCAGGTGGTTTTCTAGCATGATTCAGATGAGGTTTTCAGAGTCAGTCCGCATAGACATGTCTACATTTATCAGAAAAAGTGCAAAATCACATTCCAGAGTGACCTATTGTGAGCTCACTTACTTATCTTTTATGATAACAGCCTTAATTCAGTCATGTCCTGGAAGGGACTGCCTCCATATCAAGTAATGATCCTGCAGAATCTTGGCCGGACCATTGCTGATCTTCGTGCTTGTGGTTGCTTTGAGTGGCAGGTGTTTTTCCTGCTGAATGGTGGTCAGGTTACTGCCCTGTGTGCCGGGCGATGGGTGATTCTGAGATGCTTGTATGGGGTTGGAGTATATGTATCTGTACCTGAAAACAAAGTTGATTGACTTCATGCTTGTACATAAAAATACTGTAAAAATATCCAATTTTGGACACATATACCTTCTAGTCAGCCGACATAATTAAGCATCTACCGTATGTCAGTCACTGTGAAATGTAGTTAAGGGAGGAGTCTGAAGGGAATGGCATGTTGATATAGACCTCAGAGGATGATCCTATGGCAGAAAACAGGAGAGGAGCAGGGCCTTTGTCACTGGATGGACATTTGTGGATTTCAAATACCCTTCTGCTATTGGGTAGCTCTGTGCTCCCGGACCAGGAGCCTCCGTTCATTTGAATTTTCTCATAGACACAGAACTGAAGGTCTGTGTGTCCTTCGGAGGCATCTGGCAAGAGTGTCTTCCTGTCTCAGAAATGAGGCTGGAGGCCCCGGACTCTCCTGGAATGACACGTTCATCCTGGCCAGACAGCAGGGTGAGTGGGTGTCTTTGGACCATGGCCTCTTGGGAGCTAGCATTGGTGGGTCACAGATGGAGATCTGGCCCGGGCCACAGGAGGCACAGGCTCAGGGCCTTCTTATTGTCAGCTACCCTCACAGAGCTGACACAGTCGTGTTTGGTGGCAGTTTATAGAATAGTGAACTGGGGTTTACAGGAATCTATGATGGTCACACATAGGGAAACAGGATGTTCAGACTGTGAATAGACCCAGTTGGATGGTGAAGCAGCTGTCTGGTGTTGAGATAGTATGACTCTTGGTTCTCTGGGCCAGTTTGGAAGCTGTAGGGGAGAAGAGCTGGTGATCAGACAGGCCACTGTTAGACATAAACTCAACATCTGTGACCCCTCTGAATGAGGTGAGGCTCAGGAGAGAATCTTTGGCTGACCACCATTTTGACCTTTTCTGTTTTGTCTGCTCCAGCTCTTCTTAATCTTCTTAATTAGTGGCAGGAATTTTCTCCCTTTGGGCAGCAGGATGCTAACAGGGTAGACTTTGATTGTGCGATGGAGGTCCTAGAGGCTGTTAAAATTGGTTTGAGACCTTTGCATTTATTCCCTCATGCCTAAATACCACAAATGGCAAAGAACAGAATTTTGTTCTAAAAATAAAAAAAAAAGGCATACTGTATGCATGTATAGAAATGTTCCCGTTGAAACCCACTAATTTGTACAATTAATATGATTGAATAATTGTAGTTTAGAAACCAGTGAAAGAAAAGGAGGCGTGAGTGGCTTGTGTGCTTGCTTCATCTGGGGCTACCCCCAATGATGGCTGTAATATTGTTGAGGGGATGCAAATGAGGGTTGGGTGCATTGCGTAATGATTAGCACTCTGGACTGTGGGGATGCTAATGGTCTAACAGACGTCTTTGCTTTGGTTTCCAAGAATAGGAATGCTCTGCCCTTGGCGGAACCTTGGAGTTTAGGGTAAGGCACAGATTATAGTCACTGTTGGTGTAGGAACTCAGAGGGAAACTGTGACTCAACCAGGGAAGTTGCTGTTAAAGATCATATTTTATCTTAAAAGGCAGCTGCTCGATGTGTTATGCAGATGAATTTAATTAAAATACTTCCCAGCTCTAGGTTGGTAGAAGAAGATCAAAGATATGTGTTTTTGCAAGAGAGATCTAGAGCTAAATTGAAGCTTGTTTCGTTATTTTACCCAGATTAAGGTGAGTCAGAATCTATATAGGTGGGTAATCCTAGTGTGTATTCGTCATTCATTTCTGTGTAAGCTTGTTTATTCACGGAGCCATTTAGATTATGACCCTAGTCACCCAGGATTCTGCACTTGTGCCTTCTAGTGTTCACAATCTAGTGTTGAGACAGAAGAGGTTGAGATAGCAAGTAATGTGGCCAGCTGGTTGTCGAATTTTGGCCTCCCCCACCCTTCCCCTATCTCCCCCCCTCCCCAGACAGAAGCAGGGATGTATGCTTTTATGTAGTAACTATATAAACTTTTCTTTGGCAAATTGGTAGAAAATTACGTTTACAATAAAGCCTTCTTAAAAGAATTGTAATACATTGAAATTTTACATATTGGGGACCATTATTGAGTCATTAAAACCAGGATCTAGTTAAAATGCTTGCCTTTGCTAGACTTACTGTATGCTAACTTACACAGGGTTCTATAAAATCCACAGATGAAATTCCAGGGTTCCCTGATGCATAGTAGACAGATAATTGGAGAAGGACACACACACACACACACACACACACACACACACACACACTGCAGAGCAGTTTGTGGTACTTAGCACTCACAAGTGCTTAACACACTCTAGACACCAAATGGAGTCCAAGAATGTTTGAATGAAGCCCTTCTATAAGAGCTAGGGGTCTTAGTAAATGCTGTGTCAGGGG